AGGAGTGGGGTGGGACTGAGGAACCAGCCATGCGCCTGGGATAGAAATCAGGTTTCAGACTGATCGTCAGTGCACAGTTGATATGAGACAGGAAACATCCCACAGCCTCGAGCTGGGGTGAGCCCTGCCATGGCCTGAGCTGCTCTCATAGGAGACCTGGTGGGACCACTGATGAGCTGTTGCACAGAGGGAGCAATCACCCTCCTCATGCTGGAGGCACTCACTGCCCTGCAAATCGCTGCTGTTCTGTCACCCTCAGGTGAAGATTGAGAAGGAGAAGGTGTACATCCGAGCAAGCAAGCAGGTAAGGGGCCACTTGCACCCCAGAATCAAGCCACATGCTTTTAGTTCTGCTCTGTGTGTGTCAGGGTGGAGGGAAATGCTTTTCTTCTGGTCCTGTGGCAGGGGAAGCAGTGCCTGAACAGAAGGGTGCACAAGCATCCAACATGGGTAAACCAAAGGTCCACCCAGCCTGGTCCTGTCTCAAGCAGCAGCTTATATGGACGCACGAGTGGAGCAGGGCAGAGGTGTTGTGTCCCCTTCACAGCCCCCTGCAGCTGCCGACATCTGAGCCGGGGTGTCCATGGATCCAGCTCTTACTGGGTGTTTGTCCTGAATTTGTCCCGAATTTGTCCCGTGTTTCCATATGCTCACAGCAACGTTTAATTTAGTTGGCCCATGGAAACAGGCCTCTTTAAGCAGCCTTTGGGCCTCGTCTGTGGGGTCTGAATGTGGCAGGATGGTGACAGAGGTCATCTGTGCTGCCTTGTGAGCCCAGGCATCAGCTCCTTTTTCTGGAGAGGAACCTGGTGTGTGAGCAGGGAGGGCTCTCATCCCCCCAGATCTGAAGCCCATCCAAGCTACTGCCACCTTTCTTTCCATTAGAAGCCTTGTTTTGATGAACATTTGCATGTATACGTGTGTGAATCCAGTGGCTCAGAACCAGATGCACCCATACAGCACTTGGGTTAGATACAGAGAGGTCACCTGAATGGCAGCAAATCTACACCAGCTGATTTGGGTGGGATATGAAGATTGAGCCTATTTCCTCTACCAGAAATGGAGTTTGGCCTCCAATGGCTGGCACTAGGGGTCTGTGAGCAGGGCTATAGTGGCATAGGTCCTTGAGTGTGCTCTGCTGTGTTGGACAAGTCCATCAGCCTCTGTGGATATCAGAGGTACACAACTTCTGCTCAGGTGCAGGATGAAGTTCCTGACAGGACTTTTCATTCAGCATTTCCATCTTGCCTCTTGGTTGCAGAGGTGCATAAGGACACACCTGGGTTGCTTCTATCCCCTCTCCCCCAGCTCTGTGTACCTGGATCAATCTGCAGAAGACAGTGGAATAATTTTTCTTTTACATCTTGTAAAGGGATGAAGCACCGGGTGGTGGAAGGGTATTTGGATGGGCTCAGGTTTGGAGTCTTCACTGGGTACAAAGGTGCAGTTTCCTTTTGATCCAAGCCGCTTTATGACAATAACGTGGCTACGCAGGTTAAAGCTGAGAAAAGATAATGACTTTTCTTCCTGCTGTTGGTGGCATAGGCTCTTCAGACACAGAGGAGGACAAAGATGATGGCAAAGTGCATCTCCTTGAGCAACTATAACCTGAGCAGTACCAACGTGCTGATCATCGGTGCAGGTATCGTGTGGCACATCCTGGGACCACTGTGTGTGTCCCCTCCTGCTCTGTGGAGCTTTGTAGTTTCCTGTCACAGTCTTTTGTAGTGGGTGCCCAGAACCCTATTCCCTCTACACCCTTCCCAGGTACATCAGTAACCCCTGATTTCCTGATCAGGGAAATAAGTGTAAAGTCCTCTCAGGTGATTCTGTGATGTGGATACACCTTTTCCTCTTGGGGTCTGCACATCTCTGTCTCAGCCCACTGCAGCTGCTTGCAGCTCCAAAGCTCTCACCCCAAGATGCTTCTCTGAAGATAAATTCTTCCATCTTCCCAGAAAATATCAAATCTCTGCATGAAATAGCAAATCTGCCAACCTGTCTTTTCTTATCTCTTGTCCCAGCTCCATTTGTGTAATGCAGTTTTTGTAGAAAGCTGGAGTGAATAGAGATTGATGGAGTGAATCCCATATACTGAGCTTGCCTGTTTCTGGAATGGGTTGGACACTAAGCTGGACCGTGTCATGGTGAAATGGAGGGTGGGAGGAGTGCACAAGCTGCACAGTGTTGCATCTGGGGCTGGAGGAGATGGCTGCTCCTGGCATGGGGGTTGTTCTTAATTTATTGCAGCCCTGAGGTCACCAGATCCATGTAGACATGGGAGCACACTGCGACCTTCTGCTGTGACCATCTAGGTTGCAGCTCACAGCCTGAGCAGAGGTAAACCAGCCTGGCTGGCTCTTCCCTTGCTGCTGGGGAACGATGTTCCCGTCCTTGTGCCCCTGCTGTTGGTTGACTGACAGCCAGGGTGTGACATTGCAGGTCCCTGAGGTCACCTGCGCTGTGCTGGTGTGTGGCAGGGCTGGTGGGGTTTAGGAGCAAAGGATTCAGACCTTAAGATGCCCAGTGTGCTGCTGCCACCAGTTTTCTTTCTCCCTTAGGGGCAGCTGGACTGCTCTGTGCAGAGACCTTGCGCCAGGAGGGTTTCTCAGACAGGATTGTGATGTGCACGATGGACAGACACCTGCCCTACGACAGACCAAAGCTCAGTAAGGTTTGTAACACTTCGGGAATGTCACATTCCTTCCCTGTTTTAAAATTGCTCTAGGACCTTTCCCCACGTACTGCAGCAGCACTTTTCTTCTTCCTTATGTGTCCCAGCTCTGGTTTTCCCTTGAATTTTCTTTTCTGTTGGTGACTGAAATATGAAACATAGCAGAGGAATTGTTGAAGCTCTGAACTAAGAGTGCTCCAGCACAGGTACAAGGACATTCTTCCCTGTGAGGGGGTGAGTCGCTGGCAGAGGGTGCCCAGAGAAGCTGTGGCTGCCCCATCCCTGGCAGTGTTCAAGGCCAGGTTGGACACAGGGGCTTGGAGCAACCTGCCCTAGTGGAAGATGTCCCTGCCCATGGCAGGGGGTTGGGACTAGAGGAGCTTTAAGGTCCCTTCAACCCAAACCATTCTTATGATTCTTTGTAGGCCTAGCTATAGCTGACTTGGGCAGCTTGCACCTGGATGGATCTTTTTATCATGTTTCTGGATCAAAATCTTTAGGTCAATGAAATGGGAGATGTGAAAAAAAAAATTAATTGTCTCCCAGGTCTTCAATGACTGCGTGGTTCTTCCTGCCCAGAGGTGCTCCATGCCATGATTATTGGGATTATCAGTCACCATCTCAACTGGGTAATGTGATTACAGTGCAAAGATCATTTTTTCTGGCATTCATCCTATTTCGCATTCCAATTGTAGACACAAGATGGTCTTCTAATTGCGTTTTTTATTACTGATTCCTAAGCTTTACATGATACCAGAGAGCAGCTCAGGGTGGACAGGAGCATTTGGTCTTGAAGACTGGAGATAACCTCAGAACGGGCGGTGTATGTATTCCCCTTTCTGACAGGGTTGCTCATCTGACTCTGCTTCCAGACCCAAGGCAAAGTGATTTTCAAAGAAAGGCAAATATATGCATGACTTTTTGAGAACATTCAATTTGTTTCTGTGCTTGGACAAGACCTGCTTGGGGTGAGGAGCAGCTGCCTGAAACCTGCATCCAAGAGTCACAGAGGTTGTGCTGGGGAGCTCGGAGAAGCCCGTGGTCCCTGTCCCAGCCAGGTGGCCCTCCCCACATCCATCCCCACCATGAGAATCTTAGGCTGCCTTTTCCACTCTCTGTTACATAGTAGGAACATCTCACACAGCAGAGGTGTTTTGCATGGTCTGTTAAACTCTCACTCAACACATCACGTTTGGAAGGTGCACAAAGCCCATGAAAGAGAAGGCAGAATTCTCAGGAACAGGCTAGAAAAAAAAGGGTGTTTTTCTTAATCCTATAGTGAGTGGGACTAACCTTGGAAAGAGTCATTGGAGGAGGAGCATGTAAAGCTGTAAACAGCAGTCTTCTTGCCCCCTGGAAACTGTAGCGTTGTCCTTCCTCTGCCTTGCTGAACGCCTGTTACCAATCTGTCTCAAAGTCCCACCAGACTGCTCCTCTTGGTCCCCTTTGGACCATGACCTGCTCCCTGGTGTGCTGCACCGTCCCCATTACTGTCTCTGGAGCACTGAGGAGCCGCAAACCCATGGTGGTTGTGCACTGCTCTGCACTGGCCTCCCTGCACATGCTCCCGAGCCATGGGTCAGACATTCCTCTCTGTAATTGTTGGGTGTTGGAAGAATTTGCAGTAAGATCTGTATGACCTTGCATGTGCCTCAGGCCCCAGGGTATGAGTCTCTGCAGAGCACAGTGTCAGCTGGAGTTACAGCAAAGGGGTGTCCTGCAGGGCTTATCCCAGCCCCTGACTGAGCCACTCCAGGGACAAGGACCTTGTTGTTTTCCAGCTGGTTGTTTTCCAAATAACGGGGGGTTTTCTTATGTCCCTATGAGCTATGAGGAGCTGCAGTGAGAGCTGCTTTGCACTCAGAAGTGCCTGCTGTGGTCCTGCCTTGGCCAGTCAATGCCAGCGCGGTGCTGAGCAGGAAGAAGGAACTGGGGTCCGGTCTGGCATCTTGTGATGACTTTCACTTGACCAGGCTTTGATGACAGCCTCTATAGAGCAACTTATGGCCCGTGCCATAAGGGCTGACTTCAGGCTACTGCTGACATGGGTCCATAACAGGCATTTCTCCCCTTGCCTGGTGAACCACAGCGGTTGACAGCAGAATGGCTTTTTTGCAGTCGATGGACTCCCACCCGGAGCAGATCGCCCTGCGCCCCAAGGAGTTCTTCTGCAGCTACGACATCGAAGTCCTGACCGAAATGCAGGTAAGGGGAGTGCTGTGTGTACCTGCAGACTACCTTCTGCAAGTGCTGGCACACAAGGGCTATGTTTAGGAGATGTGGCTGCTGGCTCTGTTCTTAGCTCACTGGATGTGTTGCAGAAATGTTGGGTCTCCCCCAGCACAGAGCACAGGTTGCCTGTGATTGTTCCAAACTACGGTTAATGCGATTCCTCCCGTGGCAGCAAGGACACCCTGTGCAAGCTCTATGGTGACCATCATTCCTTTCCTGCCATTTGGGAGCTTCCTCACGTGGATCTGGGGTGACCAAGTGGCCTCTGATGAGGATAACCAGCCTGCAAGCCGTGCAGTGATGGCTTGAACATTTCTCCCCAGTATTTTATTTATACTGTGGGATTTTCAAGGATCTGTGGAAAGGCAACCAGGAATATTTGAGGTCTGGGTTGGCTGAACTGTGGACAAGAACACAGGGGACTAAGAAGTAACAAATAGGTTGGTTGGGCTGAGAGCTGAGTGAGTGGCTGGGATTCCATCCCTTAACATACTTTAGGAATGATTTCAGGTTGCGGCTGTGGATGTCAAGAACAAGGTAGCCGTGTTTAAGGATGGATTTAAGATGGAATACAACAAGCTGCTGATAGCAACTGGAAACACGTAAGCTACAAACAAACATTTTAAAGAGCAAGTGAAACTGTTATATCTGAAAATATGAGGAGCTTGTGCCTGGGGATGAGGGGTCAAATTTGAAGTTGAAGTTGAATTTGTTTGCGAAGAGTGTTTGCTTGCAGGAAAAGCAAGGAATAACTGTTAGATATGTCTGTATATACCTCTATATCTCTATCTAGATATATCTATATCATCTCTCTCTCTGTGTCTGTCTGTGTTGGGGGGTTGGGCTAGATGACCTTTGGAAGGTCCTGTTCAACCCAAACAATTCTGTGATTCTATGATATATCTATATAATCGATATAATATATATATCTAGCTCTATAAAGCTGAGCTGGGTTTGTCTGCTCAGCCAAAGCTGAAAAACCTTTGTGTCACCTCCGTGTCACCCAAGAGCACCACCCTGGAAGTAGCGGGTTGACTTGCTCTCTGTAGAGGATTTGTCAAAACTGACACTTTAAGATGAAAACGAGGTGTCCTGGCTCCCTTTCCTTGTGCTCCCAACACAAAATGAAGTAGGAGAAGTGCAGCCCCTGCAGAATTTAATCAGGTAAAGAGATGCTGTAGAACAGCCAGAACAGGGGCTCCCATTGTCACCCTCTGTGCCACCAGTAACAGCAGCAGTCCCACTAAATGCTAAGGGCTGGTGCTGGGGTCTGCACCAGTCGCCTAATTGGGTTCAAGAGGATTGAGTCTTCAGCAGTAATGTCAAAATCCTAGAGCACAAGCTCCAAGTACACTGAGTATATGTTTTAGGTACCTGAATTATTTAGGATTGTCCGTCCTGTTTCCAGATGTTGTTGAGGATGCAGGGGCCAGATGTTTAAAAATACATAGGCTCCACTGAGTGCATGGGGGAGGACACGAATAAACTGCTACAGCATTAGCAGCGTGCTCCTATGAACAGATTGTGGAACCTGAATCTGCAGAGGCTTATGAAACGTTCAGTATCTGGCTCCAGAACATCTGCTGGAGCACACCGTGACATTTCTGTGTCCCATTAAGCATCTGAAAATTTTGCAGCATGCCAGCAGTTATGCACAAGCTTAGAATCACAGAATAGTTTGGGTTGGAAGGGACCTTCAACGCTCATCTAATCCAACCCACTGCAATGGGCAGGGACACCTTCACCTAGATCAGGTTGCTCAGAACCACATCCAGCCTGGCCTGGAATGTCCCCAGGGATGGGGCATCCACCAACCTCTCTGGGCAACCTGAGCCAGTGTTTTACCCCCCTCATCACTTGCAAAGCCGTGCCTGGCCTGTGCTGCGCTGCACTGCCCAGGAGCAAGCTCACCCCAGCCTCAAGGGCTCTCTGGTCCATGGATGGGGTCAGGGGAGCTCTGAGCCCACCAGCATTTGGGTTTTTCCATGTTATGTCTCCAGCCCAGAGAAAGATGAAAAAAGGAAAGGTCTGAGATGATGCTGGAGTCCTGCAAAGAGGGTCTGCAGTCCCAGCTGCCAACATGGGGTCCAGAAAAGCACCTGTATTGCCCTCAGTATCTGTTTTTCAGGCCCAAAGCGCTCAGCTGCAAAGGCAAGGAGGTGGAAAATGTTTTCAACATCCGGACGCCTGAAGATGCCAACCGTGTGGTGAAGCTGGCCACGAGCAAGAACGTGGTTGTTGTGGGAGCATCCTTCCTGGGTGAGCACTCTTTCTACAGTATCCGTGTCTCACTATCCACGTCTTCCTGCAGATGGTCCCAGGCCCTCACTCAGTTTGTCACTGCTCAGTTAGAGGTAACCCCTCGCCCAAACTGGACCTTAGGGTAGTCCAACCTCCAGGTCCAGGGGGAGAAGAGAAGCTGTGTGCAGACCTCAGAGCAGCTTCCAGTGTCTGAAGGAGGCTATAAGGGTGCTGGAGAGGGACTCTGCATCAGGGACTGTAGTGATAGGACAAGGGAGAATGTTCAGACGTAAAGAGGGGAGATTTAGCTTGGGTATAAGGCAGAAGTTCTTCCCTGTGAGGGTGCTGAGGCTCTGGCAGAGGGTGCCCAGAGAAGCTGTGGCTGCCCCATCCCTGGCAGTGTTCAAGGCCAGGTTGGACACAGGTGCTTGGAGCAACCTGCCCTAGTGGAAGGTGTCCCTGCCCATGACAGGGGGTTGGAACTGGAGGAACTTTGATGTTCAACCCAAACTAGTCGGATGGTTGGAACCCCAGATCTCCCTGTAGAGCAGCTCCAACCTCCCCAGCTGGGATGGGGCAAGGCTGCTCCTCTGCTGCTGTCCCCATCGCCACTTGGACCTGCTTCTGTTCCCCAGGGATGGAGGTGGCCGCCTACCTCACGGAGAGGGCCCACTCAGTGTCCGTCGTGGAGCTGGAGGAAGTCCCCTTCAAGAAGTTCTTTGGGGAGAGGGTTGGCCGTGCTGTCATGAAGGTAACCTTGCTTTCCCACCAGAGGGTAGTTTTGGTGAGAGTGGGTTCTGCTTGTTTCAGTTGGTGCACTAATTAATTGTTATTTGATGTTTATTGATTAAGCTGTGATGGCAGCAGTGACTAGACAGGAAGAACAGGCTGTGTCTTCCCTCTTATGATCCGTGTGTGCTGTAGGGCACCTTCTTCTGAATACATGTTGGGGACAGAGCTGGTGCTGACCCCCATTTGCATCGCGGGTTGATGAGAGCCCAGAGGGTGGTCGGGGCAGTGCAGGGGGCACAGGGACTCTGGGAGCCGGGGTGGTTTGGGGTCCTGATGTCCTCTGCTTTGTTCCATGTCCTCCCTCCAGATGTTTGAGAGCAACAGGGTGAAGTTCTACATGCAGACAGAGGTGTCAGAGCTGCGGGAGCAGGAGGGCAAGGTATGGTGTAGGCAGGGGCTCCCTGAGGTTACCACTTCAGCCTCCCCCCAGGGCACTGCTCTCTTCACTGCTGAGTTTCTGACCTTTCCTGGCCCCTGAAATTCATATTTCTGGGACTTGTCCCCCAGGAGCATCGTGCTCCAGTGTGGCATGTGGGGTGGTGCCATTGCTCCCACCCTCCTGCTGCCATTAAAAGGGGTTCTGGTCACACTGCAGGTCAGGAGAGGAGTGAGCTGTCGGTCTGCCTTGCTCCTGGTACAGGTTTGGGGTTTTGTCCCTAAAATAACCGTGCTGTCCCCCCGTGTCTCACACAGGTGAAGGAGGTGGTGCTGAAGAGTGGGAAGGTGCTGCGCGCCGATGTGTGTGTTGTTGGCATTGGTAAGGGGCTGTGCCTGCAGGTGTGGAGCCCATGGGGCTCTGCTTGGTGGAGGGGACGTGGCAGCAATGGGTCCTGGGGCAGGGGAGCTGGGGGGTGGTGGTGATGTGCCAGCCCTGCTCAAATTCAGTCTGTGCAGCGAAGCTGGAAAAGGCCTTTCTAGAGCCTCCACCCCAAAGTGCAGCTGAAAATGTATTGGGAAAATAGGAATGGTTTTGGTTTTTCCAGAAAAAAAACCAAACTACCCACACACATTCCCACCAACCTCATCCCCTCAAATGGTTTCTTCGAAAGCCTCCCCAGACTGATGGGGTTTTCCTGGTTTTTATTTTAATTTTTCATTACTACACTGCTACAGGTGGGGATTTTTCTCCTTTCCACTTGGGGCAAGAAAAGTCCCTTCCTCACTCTGTAACTTTTCACAGTGTTGCAGGCTGGAAGAAACAGAGGATTAGTTTAATCCTGCTTCTGTCACTTTATTGACTCCTCTGAATTGTGATGGGCCAGAGGGGGAAAAACAAAAAGATCGCAAAAAGGGAAATGAGAACTGGTGAAAAGGTGCAGACTGTGGGAGAGGCACCTTGGAAAAGGTGGGGGGCAGATTCCAGTGGTACTCTGGTGGCTTGACGAGCTATAGGGACCCTGGGGTGCAGTAGGTGATGTAGTGGGAGTAGTGGGGCTCTGGAGAGGCTCTGGTCCCCTCTCCCATGGGATAGACAGGTTGTGCAGGCAGGGGGCAGATCTGTGGCCCGGGGATCACCCCAGGACTGGGGGGATGCCCGGCTGCTGTGCCAGCAGCTCTTCCCTTTTCCCACAGGCGCAGTCCCAGCGACAGGCTTCCTCAAGCAGAGTGGCATCAACATCGACTCCAAAGGCTTCATCGTGGTCAACAAGGTGAGCCAGGGGGGCAGCCCCTGCCAGGGGAGAGCAGGAGGAGCTGAGTGCCCTCCTCCAAGATGAGCTTCCCTGTGGCTCCAAACTTGCTGCAGGGGGGTTTCATCCAAGATGCATAATGCTTGACCCCCCCTGCAGCCCAGGGTGATGTGGCTTGAGTCCAGCTCTGAGATGCCCTGGGGTGGTGTGGGTATTCTGGGGGGAAAGTCATTCTAAGGATCCCACAGGATCTTACCTTTCCTCACCACCACCAGTGACTCCAATTCGACTGATGCTGGTGCTGATGGATGGTGTGTGCTATGAGGGAAGAGTGTGTCAGGGAGGCTGGGGCTCATTGCTCATATATGCAATAAACCAGGCTCTATTTTAAATACTGAGAAACCCCAGCCTTCTAAGAGGAGCTCCAGGACACCAAGTCTTGTCTCTCTTTACTGGATAACCCACTGGCAAGTCCCTGCCTCTGTGGTCTGCTTGGAAAGTGAAGAATGCTGAATCAAATCCCACCAGAGCTCCCTGAGTTGAGCAGAGGCTGCCTGGTGTTCCTGGGGACCTCACAGCTCTGGAGCAGTTCCCTGTGTCTGTTCATGGAGGGTGCAGACCCCACTGCTGCCCACTTCTACTTCCTCCTGCAGATGATGCAAACCAACATCCCCGGAGTGTTTGCGGCTGGCGACGCGGTCACGTTCCCTCTGGCTTTGAGGAATAATAAGAAGGTGAACGTCCCTCACTGGCAGATGGCCCATATGCACGGTAAGTGCTTTGCAGCCCCTTGGCTTCACAACAGCAAATTGCATATGGAAATGAGCCTTCTCCATACCCCCAGGAAATTTCCAAACCCACTAGCAAGAGAATGAGACAACTGCCAGTAGGGGAGCTGGGTAGTTGCATTTAACAGTTTGAAGCATGTATGTTTTATGCTGTTCTATATGCCTTCATTTGTTAGCTTCTTGACGTGCATTGCCTGACAATGCCTGAGACCTTTCTCCCCTCCATGCCAGCAAGGCTGGAAACCCTGGTGTGATCAGCTGCCCTCAAGCTTTCCAAAGCCACAACTGCATGAGGAGGTTGACTGCTGGGTGGGTGCCCTGGGTGAGAAGTTTTGGAACCACACCTCCAACATTAGCCTTCGGATACAGCCCCCTTTAATGCTGGCCCAGACATGCCATGAGGATGGTCAAGGCCTGGAGCACCTCCCATATGGAGACAAGCTGAGAACATTGGGGCTGTTCAGCCTGGAGAAGAGAAGCTGCGTGGAGAGCTCAGAGCAGGTTCCAGTGTCTGAAGGGGGCTACGAGGATGCTGGAGAGGGACCTTCATCAGGGTCTGGAGTGATAGGACAACGGGTGATGGGTTCAAACTGAAACAGGGGAAGTTGAGGTTAGATATAAGGCAGAAGTTCTTCCCTGTGAGGGTGCTGAGGCGGGGGGAGGGTGCCAGGAGAAGCCGTGGCTGCCCCATCCCTGGCAGTGTTCAAGGCCAGGTTGGACACAGGGGCTTGGAGCAACCTGCTCTAGTGGAAGGTGTCCCTGCCCATGACAGGGGGTTGCGACTAGATCATCCTAAGGTCCTTTCCAACCCAAACCGTTCTGTGATTCTATGGTTCTGTGCCTCTGTGGTAAGAACTGTTCCTTAACAGTCTCCATGCCCTCAGTGGGGGTTATCCATCCCATCCCTGTTTGTGGTGGGAACTCAGTAAGCTCTGAGCCCTGTCACTGTTGCAGAAGTCGTGTTGAACCAGGCTCAGCAGCACATGGCTTATGGCAGTGGAGGGGGTGAGGGTCAGGGGGAGCTGCAGTGCCGGGGAGGAGGCCAAGCCCAGCCTTGGGCGCTGCGATGCACTGCAGTGCGCTTCCTTGTTGGTGCTGTTTCTTGTTGCTGTAGTGTCTTTTATTTAGCGTAAGCAGAAGGTCCTGGTCTCCCTGTACTCTGGGACTAGAGATGTCGATGCTGTCCTGTGACCGAGGGCAGACCATGATACCTGCCCCAGCACAGAGCTGCCCCTCTTACTCTGCTGCTTCCCTCTCTCAGGCCGTGTCACCGCACTGAACATGCTGGCCCATGGTGTGGAGCTCAGCACAATCCCATACCTGTGGACTGCGATGTTCGGGAAGAGCATCCGATACGCGGGTAAGGAGCTCCCTGAGCCTGCTGTAGAGTTTGTGCTGGTGGAGGTGTGCTGGGATAGAGCAGCCACAGCCACCTCCCTTGCTGTGGAGCCTCTGTGACAACCTCTGCTTTGGGTCTGCTTCCCTTCCTGCCTCCAAAACCTGATCTGCTCATGGCCATGTGGTGCAGGGCCAAAGGGGTGGTCACAGGGGGTGGCCCAGTATGAACAATGTCCCTCAACTCTGAAGAAGAATGGGAGCTTTTTGCTACCCTCATCTGGTGCTGGTCTCTTGATGACTGCAGGATGCTCTTGTGTAGCTCTGGATTGAAACATCCTGTCTTAGGGACTAGAGCTGGATCCAGGGGAATTGTTGCTGAATCCACTGCTTCTTCTCTGCCTTCCAGGTCATGGGGAAGGATTCGATGATGTTGTCATTCAGGGAGATGTAGACGAACTGAAGTTTGTGGCATTTTATACCAAGTAAGTGTTCCCCTTCTCCACATTTCCCCACAGACATTCATCTAAGCTTGTTCTTCTGTTAGGCTGGAAAGTATTTTTTCCAGAGCTTCTGCCTGAAGTTTTGTTTCTCTCTGGACACTGAGGCTGCAGGGCAGTAATAAAAGGCCCCAGATAAATGATGTGCTAAGAGTAAAGCAAGTTAATCTGATCTTTGGACCTAATGTCTCTGACAGATGTTAGCACTTTGTCTGTTCACGTAGTATATGAGAGCAGGTAACGGCTTCTATTAATGTGTTGCTGGAAATTCCCATCAAAGTCGTCCTCCCCTCTCATCGCTGTGTTAATGACTTGTGGCCAGGGCTAGGCCGGGAGCTCAGGTATCACTGCTGCTGTTATGGGTTGACAAATTAAACTAAAAACCCCTCTTCTGAAGCCGTGAAGGTCAGCAGGAGTTCAGGAGCTTCTGTTACAGCTGTGTGGAACCCAGCTCTCCTCTAGGCAGGCAGCCTGGCTGGGAATACTTGTGGATGTGCTGACAGCCGGGATGTGCTGCCCCAGCTGTTTCTGAGCTGCGAGAGCCACAGCAAGACCGTGCACTGTGGATTTATCCCAAAATAGCTACTGCTCTTTATCCTGCCATTGCCTCTGTCCCATCCTGAACTGAAATCCGTGGCCACGGGGCCTCTTCATGCTGGGACACGGATGGGATTTCTTCAAGTGCTTTCTAATGTGGGATGGGGAGAGTGAAACCAGGGAAATGAAGGTCTGCAGTGCCCAATGATCAAACCACCAGCAGCAGCATCAGGCAGTGATCCTCTCACCAGGGCTCACCCAGTCCTCTGCCCAGTGTTCTTCACGGCATCCCCTCTGCGCCTCCCTCTCCGAGACCAGCCACTCACTTCCATTGCCTGGTACTTGGATGTGTCCGTTGGGCTTGGAGAGGCACAGGGCTCCCTTTGTTAGGCCATGGCAGGAACAGCCAGGTCCCCCGTGCCCACCCTCCTTCTCCTGGTGCCTTGGATAGAAACCTGCTGCAGGCAACAGGGCTCCAGCATCCGCTGCCCTTGCATGAACCTTGCACATGGTTCACTTCTGAGCTCCCCTTGGCCAAAACCTCCTAATAGGGTGGGTTTGTGCCTGTGCTGGGGAGAGCTGCTGCACAGGGACATCCTGTCTCCAGCCACAGCCACGAGGCTGTCACTTCCCACCCTCTTGATGGTTTGAAGTTCATTTAAATCACACAACTGCCAAAGCAGCAATTTAAAACCAGGTTTGGCAGTTTTGCTGGAGGGGTTTGCAGCATCGTGCGTATTGCATCCTTGGGAAGCCACCCCACAGCCATTGCACTCTCCTGTCTCCTGTCCCCTGGCCTCACTGGCAGCCCCCTGCATGCAGCAAATGCAGCATTACAGGGCCAGGCGCCTGCAGCCTGCCCTGGCACACATTTCTTTCCAGCATTAACACCTTCTTTGAAGCCTCGATTTCCCCCTTTCCATACCGGAGCTTTCAGCCATTTATTCCAACCCTACTTAGAAAGGAAATGTCAGGTTGCTTTAATTAAGCATTTGTAGAGCCTGTTCAAAGGAGAGCCCTGAGGAAGGTGCATAATCCTGCTCTGTGCAGCCCGGGGCCTTGGACTGCAAAGGCAGACCCACCAGTGTGCAGGGAAGCTGCTCAGTGCTCTGATGTTCTGCCACACAGGAGGAACTCTGGAGATGGCTTTTGGGTACCAGGATGGCATCCCCCCCTGAGAGCCAGAGGTGCCAGGGGAGCGCTGAACAGTGCATCCCCACTGCTTTGCTCGGCTGCAATCCCAGTCCCTGCTTCTGTGAAAGCATTCCTTTCTCTTTTTCTCATTTGGTGACGGTTGTTCTGGATGGTGCTAATGCTTTTTGAATGAGGACATTGCCCCAAATGGACCATCCCCTTGCACTTCCTTCTGTTGTGCCCACCCGATGGTTTGGGCTCTCCTTCTCTTGGTGCACACTGTCAGGGAAATCCTGACCACCCGCCTCTCCTCTCTCTCAGTACAGGACATCAGCAGAGGGATCACCTCCCTGACTGGCAGAACCACTGGGCATCCTTGCTGATGTCCAAGGCTTCATCCACCTTTGCTGGTGTTTTCCCACAGATTTCAGGGTGCTCTGAGCTGTCTCCATCCCCTGGGCACCTTAGTGATGCTCACCACACCAGCACGTGTGAGACCACAGCGGGGCTAGCCTGCTGTGCCAGCTCTGAGCCCTCTCCTGCCCCTTGTCCCACCCCACCAGCAAAGGCTCTGTGATGCTCACACCTTCGGACGGGTCCAGGGTGTTTCTCCACTTCTCTCCAGCATGTTGCTTCCTGGGTGCTGGAGCTGCACTTGTGCAGGGCTGCCCTAACCCCATGCTCTGCCCGGCCCTAGGAGCGACGAGGTGGTGGCTGTGGCCAGCATGAACTATGACCCGATCGTGTCCAAGGTGGCTGAATGCCTGCGGGCGGGACCATCCGGAAGCGTGATGTGGAGTAAGTAGCAGTGCTGCAGGAACTGGCAGCGCCGGGGCAGGGGCTGAAGGGCCAGGGGTGCAGGGCAGGGCTGAGCACCTGACGTGGTTTAAGCCTACCTGGTAACTCAGAACCACACAGCCGCTCGCTAGCAGTGCTGCAGGAACTGGCAGCGCCGGGGCAGGGGCTGAAGGGCCAGGGGTGCAGGGCAGGGCTGAGCACCTGACGTGGTTTAAGCCTACCTGGTAACTCAGAACCACACAGCCGCTCGCTCACTCCCCTGCTTCTTCCTCCCCCTGCTCCCGGAGGGAGGGGGGGGAGGATTGGAAGAATGTACCTCCCCTGGC